CTGGTGGTTCAAACCCACTAGCCACTCCTCAGAAGGAAGGTTGGGCAATCTACTTCCATAGTGATACTGCCTCGGAAACCCAAGGAGGGATCGCTATGAGTTGGGGCCGACTCTATGACACATAACAACAACAACAACAATATATACATATACATACACACACACACATACATATATTTATATATGTATTTTAAAGATTATAGGAGTTGGCTTAACTGTTGGTTGGGAAGGTAGTTTATTCTTATCCTCTGCATGATTAAACTGTTACATAAAATAATTCAAATAAGAGATAACTCCATATTACTGTTTTTGTTCAGGGGATCTTTGTTATTGTTTAGTAAAATTTTTTTCCCCAAATATGAGAGTTTAATGAGCTCCATAAATAAGAAAAAGACTGAGGATAATGGAGACTTCTTGATGAGAAACAGTAGGTTTTGGTTTCCTAGGTTAATAACAATATTGAAATTGCATTATCTCCACCTTACCCCAATGCCATATACAACAGGACTTAAATTCATTTATCATATTTCTTTTCTCTTTTTTTTCAATAAGTTGGCTATTCACTGTCCATCAGAAGATATTATCCTGGTAACAGCTTCTCCTGTTATTAAAGCAGTCACAAATTTCAAGCAGGTAAGAGCCTTATAACTTTCCTTAATATTCTTAAAGAGCAGTAACTCGTTTAGTGGTTAGGGTGATTGTAGTGTTTTAATTGTTTAAAATGACAGCTGTTATTTTGCTATTTATTTTAAAATCAAAGCTTGAAGTTTAGAATAATTCAGATTGAATTCTAAAAGGGCCTGGACTGGTACTGAGTTTCTAATTTTTTTCCTCTCATCGTCTCCTCTCACTCAATCCTACATGTCAATTACTTCTTAGAAAGTTTTCAGTAATATTCTTTTGAAGAAAGGTGCTATGCAAATCTAAATATATATATATATAGAGAGAGAGAGAGAGAGATACATACACATACTATGTGTGTATGTGTATATGTTTATAACTCTAAAACTCACTGCTGTCGAGTCGGTCCCAACTCATAGTGACCCCTCCTTGGGTTTCTGAGGCAGTATCTCTATGGAAGTAGACTGCCCAGTCTTCCTTCTGAGGAGTGGCTGGTGGGTTTGAACCACCAGCCTTCTGATTAGCAGTCAAATGCCTTAGGCACTACACCACCAAAGCTCCCATATATATATATATAGGCATCTGTATAGTGTGTGTCAGTGTGTGTGATTGTTTACAAATCAGAGGAAATGTGTTTCCAAACTAAGTTTATACTTACAAAGAATGTTGCAAATGTATAATAAGCATCTCAGAACCCTCCATGAATTTACACTGTTCATTATAATAGGAATGTAAGATTAGTTGGGTCGTAGTATCATAGGAGAGTGGCCTGCAAACTGTTTTGATCCTGCACTGACCTGTAGAAAATCTTTGAGCGTCTATCTCAATACATATATTTATTAATTTATAAAGTATATGCATGTGCAGTGTTAAAATTAGGAACGTTATAAAGCCTATTAAAAAAAAAGAATGAAAAACATAAAGTCTGATCTTTTCTTCCTATACTTTGGTGAAGACCACAGCCATAGTCTTTAATTTAATACAGTCTTCCCTTATAATATACTGATACTGGAATATAACTTTCTCATTCTGAAAACCCCTAAGACAGAGGGTAATTTCATGCCACATACTGTGTTGCAACTTTAGAACTTGCCTTAGTACCTTACATATCTTATTACTGAGGCAGAGTGAAAATAATTATGGGATTGGGAAAACCAAAGAATAAATTATGGCTAATAATCTCTAAAAGAAAAATGTATAAATTTAATTACATGTTAAAAGCACATACATAGATTTGTATGTTCTGTAAGAATGTCCAGGTATATAGTAGAGCTGACAAGGGACAAGGTTGTAGTCACTTCTTGGACACAGCCAGCTACCTGGAGGGAACAAGTAATTGGACCTCTGGCCTCGGGACTATGGTCACAGGGGACATCAAGCTCAATTGGCATAACATACTACACAAAAACATTGTTCCACACCCTACTTTGGTGAGTAGCGACTGGGATGTTAAAAGCTTGCAAGCAGCCATCTAGATGCAACAATAGGTCTCTCCTCGTCCAGAGCAAAAGAAGAATGAAGAAAACAAAGATGCATGGAAACAATTAGTCCAAGGGACTGGTACACCATGCCATATTCAGCCTATAGGACTATGAGACCAGAGGAAGTAGATGATGCCTGGCTACCACTGTCAGCCACTCAGAGGGGTAACTATGTAGGAGATCCTGGATAGAGTGGGAGAACAATGTGGAACAAAACTCAAAATCATGAGAAAAAAAAAAGGACCAGGTTTGCTGGTCTGATAAAGCCTGGTGAAACCCTTGAGACTATGGAATTTAACCTACTCCTGTGGCTTCCAGCTAAACAAAAGACAGGCATATGACCTGAACATTTATATTAAGTAGATGCCCTCCTTGGAGAGATCAATCATGGGAGAACTGAAGGGCTGTGTATACACAGGGAAACAGCTCGGGGGGCGGGCAGGAGTGCATGGGAGGGAAGGACACAGGGAAGAGGTAATTATAGGGAGAAAGTGGGAAGAGAGCTGTTGCATTGTGGGAAATTGCAGTCACTGTTGAGACAAAGTGTATGTTAACTGCTGTATGGAAAATGGATTTGCTCTGTAAACTTTCACCCAAATCACAATAAATTTTTTTTTAAAAAAAAAGCACATACACAGGAAAAGATGTATAGCTGGGTCTTATGTTTTTCACAAGACTTAATTCAGTGCAATAATCCTATGGATTAGTCAGGCAAGATAATGATTCAAAAGTACCCATTTCTAGAAAATCATTAGTGTCTTTGAGATAAATTATTTTAAGAAACTAATGGGAGATAACTATATAATGACAATGCAACAACACAGCACACTGCTATTGAGTTGGATTTGACTCATAGCGACCCCTCCTTGAGTTTCCAAGGCGGTGTCACTACAGAAGTAGATTGCCCAACCTTCCTTCCTAGGAGTGGCTGGTGGGTTTTAACCGACAGCCTTCTGGTTAGCAGTCAAGTGCCTTAGGCACTACACCACCAAAGCTCCTTATATAATGACAGTAAGCCTAAACATCTCTCTTTTACAACTTGACTATGAAAAAAGTAAAGCTAGAACGACAGCAAAAAGAAGACATAGGACCTAGCATTAAGCAAGAGTTGTATTCTTTTATGATGGAAAAGACTAGAACATGTTTACATGTTAAGATTAAGAAACCAGTAGAAAAGGCTGAATGTAAAGGAAAACAAGGGACCTGAAGAGATGAGAAGTGATGGGATATGGAGCATACATTAATGGATTCATCTTGAAAAGGTGAAGGAGAAGAATGGGTCCAGGAAGGTGGATTATAGCAGAGTTTATAGACTGAGGAAGAAGTAAGAGTTCTTGGTAGTCTATTTGAGCTTAGAAGGAAGATGATTTGCTAAAAACGAAGAGGATGGGATATGGTTGCGAAGCATTAGAATGGTCAAAGTTTGGAAAAGTTACCAAGGCAATGGAAAATATTACTTATACGGAACATCTGTTTTCACAATTTTGATCTTTGTATTGATGGTACAAAAACAGTGATGGCTAAAATGATGGTAGCTTGTAAAAATAAGGCGGTGGCAATCAAACTGTACTAGTAGTCATTGTATCCTTCACTGATACACATTCAGATTTTTTTTTTAAAGCCAGCAAAAAATTAATAATTTTATTAAATCCTGACTCTTGAGTACACATCTTTTTAATATTCTGTATGTTGAAATGGAATGTATGCATAAAGCACTTCTGTTGTATTCAGAGAACAGTATTATTTCAAGGAAAGGCTGCTATATGTGGTTGCTTGAGTTACAAGCAGAACTAGCCATTTTTTTATGAAATACTATTTTTTACTTGAAAGAACTGACAAACTATGGTTACATAGAATTGGAAAATGAGCAAGCACATATTCAAGCAAAACAACTGGCAGTATCTGTTGCCAATGATAAAATCAGAGCTTTCAGCCAAAAATTAGATTTTTGAGAAAGATGTTCTCTACTCTGAGCATCCCAGTATTTAAAGACTTTTCTAATAAAAATTTTTGGTGATATTAATTAATGTGATTTTTTAATATATTGTATTGATATGAAATATGTCAGTATTTAGAAGATCTGCATAACTTACTGAATCACTATTTCCAGATGACCACTGCTTGATGTTATATAAGATCCATTCAGTGTGCAAGATAAACCAATAGATTTTAAAGTAGCAGACTATAATAATTTCTTTGATGTGGTTTCAAATTCCACATTGTAACTAACTGTTAAGAAAGCATGATTTATCTAGTTTTAGTGTCACATCAAAAAATACCTACAGTTATCTGAAAAGGTTAAAATTGTTTTCCCAGCTGCATATCTGTGTGAGGTTAAATTTTCTTCATGTACTTCAATCAAAACAATAGATTATAAGGTAAACTTGACAATGGGGGCCTCCTAAAAATGAACTACTTATACTCATCAAAACACTACCGAGAGAGTAAAAAGAGAACCTGCAGACTGGGGAAAAAAAGGGTCTAATCTCTGGAATTTGTACAAAACTCCATAACTTCAACAATAAAAAGATAAGCAGTCCTATTTAAAAATAGGCAAAGATCATGAACAGACACTTTACCAAAGAAGACATTTAAGCAGCTAACATAGAAGATGGGGCAATTTACTTCCTTAGTGATACTGCCTCGGAAATCCAAGGATGGGTCACTATGAGTTGGGTCCGACTCGATGGCATATAACATAACATATAAAGAGATGCTTGTGATCATTAACCATCATAACCAAAAAAAGCCAAACTCACTGTTGCTGAGTTGGATCTGACTCATAGCGACCCCTCCTTGGGTTTCCAAGGCAGTATCACTATGGAAGTAGATTTCCCAGTCTTCCTTCTGAGGAGTAGCTGGTGGGTTTGAACCACCAGCCTTCTGGTTAGCAGTCAAATGCCTTAGGCACTGCACCACCAGAGCTCCCAATTAACCATCATGTTGTTGTTGTGTGCCATCGAGTCAGACCCGACTCATAGCGACCCCTCCTTAGGTTTCTGAGGCAATATCACTACAGAAGTAGATTGCCCAACCTTCCTTCCATGGAGTGGCTGGTGGATTTGAATTGTCAGCCTTCTGGTTAGCAGTCAAGTGCCTTAGGCACTATGCTACCAGAGCTCCTAATTAATCATCATAGAAATGCAAATAAAAGCTACAAGAGATACCATCTCACCCCTGAAGTAATAGCAGTGATAAAACAACAACAACAACAACAAAATGCTAGCAAGTTGTGAGGAGATTGGAACTCTTACAGATAGCTGGTGGGACTGTAAAGTGGTAGAACACTGTGGAAAATGTTATGGTGCGTACTTAAAAAGATAAAATACAAATACCACACAAGTGAGCAATCCCACTCCTAGCTGTATATCCTAGAGACATAAGAGCTGTGACACAAATAGACATACTCAAACCCATGTTCATTTCAGCATTATTCACAGTAGCAAAAAGAAACAACCTAAGTATCCATCAACAGATGAATGGATAAACACATTGTGGTATGTACATACAATGGAATACTATGCAGTTATA